GCCTTGCCCCCGCTCCCCCGCCTGCACTCAGTACCTGCCCCACTGCCTCTCTCCCTTCCAGCCTCCTGGCCTCTGAGACCTGAGACTGCCGGGTTTGCAGGTCTCCTTGGGCTTCACCCAGTGGGCTCCGGCTCCACCCCAGATCACACCCTATGGCAGCCGTCCCTCCCCAGGGACTGCTCCCCCCAAGCCAGAGGACACTGTCCCCCTCCGGAGGGGCCCTCATGGCCTCCTGAGTCACCCCCACGTGCCCCTTCCACCCCCCGTGCCCGCTGGGGCATTGAAGTTCTCAGCAGCCCCCTCAGCCCTACGGAACACTGCCTGACTGCGAGCCCCTGCACCCTGAATCTGCGTCTCCCCAGGACTCAGGCATGTTCATTAACCTCCACAGGTCTCCCCAAGCCCCTTACCACTAGGGCCCAGGCCACACCTTGACTCCAGGTGCAGTTGAGTGGGGTGTCCAGGGAAGAAACTGGAGTGGGGGGAAGCAGGAGGGGGCAGAGCAAGAGGGGGCAGAGCAGTGACCTGGGACTGCTGGGGGTGGGAGTGGGGGGTTTCGGGGCAAGGCCTCTCAGCTTCTCAGAAAAGGTTCTTGGAATTTTGGATCCTGAATCTTAGGTTTATGTAGCTTTGTCCTGAATAGAGACAAAAAAACCCTGAATAAGGTTTGTTTTCCTTCTTGTTCTGCATTATTTATTTCTTAAGTTAGGGTATACGCCAAGGACCATGTATTTGCTTTCCCTCCCCCCACCCACCTTTCCCCCCCCACTTCTTTGGGGAGGCAGCTGAGTTGGAGGGGCTAAAGGGAAAGATGTGGGGCCGGCTCTGTGGAGGCCGGGGTGGCCCTAAGCAGTGCAGGGCCTTCTGCTGTCTCTCCCTCCTTGCCACTTCCGCTGCTCTGGCCCAGCTCCCCGGCCAGCCCAGGCCTGCTGTCTCTGCCCACCCTGGTGCTCAGCACCCACCCCGGCACCACTTTCCCTTCCAGCCTCGTCCTCCCAGACCTGAGACTGCCCTTGGGCTTCACCCAGTGGGCTCTGGCTCCACTCCAGATCATACTCTGTGGCAGCCGTTGCCTCCCCAGGGCCTGCTCCCCCCAGCCTGAGGGACACAGCCCCCCACTGTAGAGGGGCACTCATGGCCTCTCCAGTCACCCCCATGTGCGTCCCACCCCCACCCCCGCACCGGCTGGGACATTGAACTTCTCAGCAGCCCCCTCAGCACTTGGAGCACTGGCTGACTGTGAGCCCCTGCACCCCACATCTGCATCTCCCTGAGACTAGGCAGTTCATCGACCTCCACAGGTCTCCCCAAGCCCCTTACCACTGGGGCCCAGGCCACATCTTGACTTCCCGGTGTCCTGCCACCCCACATCCATGTGGCTATACTTCAGGTCTCCCCTCCCCAGGACCCAGCCTCCTGGGCCCACCCTGACCTAGGGGACCCCTGGCAGCCTGGCGCATGTCGCCCTCCCGCCTCACAGCACAGCACTGGATCAGGGACCCCTGTCCCGGACGCTCATGTCCCCTCCCCGTCTCTGACAGGACCCCCATCCTCTTAGGGGCTGGTCCCCTCTCTGGGCCCGTTCATGTGTCCCCCTCCATCCTTTCCTCCACCCACACAGCCTCTGCTTCCTTCCTAGTTTTAGGTTGATTTTCTTTTAAGATTGTTTAAAAGATTTATTTATTTATGCAGAACTAGGGTACAGGTCAGAGGTGCAGAAGCGGTGATAGGATTCACCAAAGAGAGTCGGGGCAGGACAGGCAGATCGACAAAGTACAGTGCTGAGGGGAGCAGCAGGGGAGACAGGAGAGGTCTGCGGCACCATGTGGGTCATGTCCGGGGCGGGGATCGAACTTGTACAGAAGTGACTGTGGCCAGCTTGCAGTGCTGCGTCCTAACCCACTGCGCCACCAGGGCAGGCCTAGATTGATTTTCTCACATGGTTAATTTTTGTACAGTATTTGACTGTCCTCTCAGGAGTGGTCCCAGAGTTGTCCTGCCACCACAGCACCGGACCCACCGCCTAGTCCCTGTGCCCAGTTCTGACCCCTCCCAGCCTCCACGGCCCTCCCCTTCCTGCCCCCTGCACCTCCCATCCTCACTCCCCTCGGCCTGCGCAGCCCTGGCTTCAGGCCTCAGCCTCAGTGACTCTGAAGCTCAGGCAGCTCCACCCCCTCAGGGCGGGGCCTCCCTGACAGGGCGAGCGCAGCCTCAGTGACTCTGATGCTCAGGCAGTCCACCCCCTCACTGAGGATTTCTCCCCCAGAACCCCTCATGCTTCAGGCTGAACTCACCGTGACCCAGGATGCCGCTCTGCCCTCCACATTTGTCGCCAAGGGATATTTGTATCACCCGCTCCAGCTGTGCCATGACAGGGAGAAGGAGAGCGGGGTGGCGCCCCGAGGCCTCCTGGTACGTGTCGTGCTGGGAGCCGAGCCGGGGCCCAGAGTGGCCATGGCCAGTGGCTTTGCAGGGGACGGGCATGACCTCCGCATGAAGCTGGCGTTCATCAGGGGAAAGCTTAGCGAAGAAGGAGGTGAGAGGGCAAACTGGGCCTTTCCCAGGAACGGTAGGGCAGCCGGGGGCTGTCTTACCGGGTGCCGGGTAGTGTGAGGAAGGGGGTCTGTGGGTCCCAGCACAGACAGAGGTGACGCTGTTCATCCGGCACAGGGAGCCGTGTGTGTGTGTGTGTGGGGGGGGCAGGGTTTTGTGGGAGTTTGTCACCGGGGGACAGAGGAACAGGGCTGGGGAGTCACCGCTGGTGTGTTGGGGTAGGCTCACATTCCCTCCAGGAGATTCGGGGCTGCGAGACCCAGGAAGACACCACCACCAGTGCCTTCAGGTGGTTCCTCTACAATGGGGAGCCCTTCCTCTTCTACGACGAGACGACCCAAGAATGGGGAGCACCCCCGTCCTCATTTCATGCCCTGGCTATGGAGGTCAAGATATCCTGGGACACAGAGAGCATCGAAAACAGGAATTCCTGGGCCCGTGTGCTTGGTGAACTTTGTGGAGACCTGCGGAGATTTCGGGACTCCTGGCTGGCCTTCATTGGGAGCACAGGTGGGACCCCAGCACCAGTCCCAATTGCCCAGGCTGCCCAAGGGGACCCTTTGGTACTGTGGGCTGCCTAGAGGTCTCAGGGGTGTGGTGTCCTGAGGAGCCTGTGCTGTTAAACTCCTTGGTGAAGACATGAGGCAGGGAGGGAGTCCAGGGGAGCACTGAGTGGAGGCGGGGTGTCAGGAAGGAGGGGAGTCCTCAAGCTGGAGCTCGGCCCTGCTGGCTCCAGCCTGCCTGTCAGAGTCCCGCTGAGCCCTCCCCTCACAGCCCCCTCCAACTTCAGCATGTAGGTCCTGGGCCCTCTTCCCACAGAACCACCTGGAGAACCCCGGGGTCAATGAAGTGGGGCCTGTAGAAAGTGGGGAGCAGCAGCCTGGTCTCTCTGTCTCCCTACATGGGGAGCAGGGCTGGGCCAGTGCCTCACTGACTCTGTGCTCCTTCCCGGTGTCCCCAGGCGTGAAGGCCACCTGCAGCAGGGCCTCAGAGGATGCGGCCAGCATGACCTGCCGGGCACTCAGCATCTCTCCCTGGAACATCTCACTGGTCAGGCTTGAGGACGATGAGCCCCTGAGCCCAGATGTCCAGCTGCCTGGGGGTCCAGCTGTCCTGACTTATGAGAACGGGACCTACTGTGATGGGGTGGCCCTAAGGGTTCCCCCAGGAGAGGCACAGAGGGGTACCAGCTCCATGGGACACAGCGGGAATCACACCGTGACCTCTGGAGATCCTGGGGTGAGATGAGGGGAGCCGACCTGCAAGATCAGGGGTCAGGATGTGGTGGAGAGCAGGCCCGTGGCTTTGGGTGCCCAGGTTAAAATCAGACCTTTTCTAGGAAAGGCGCCGGGGCATCAGTGGCCACTGGCTAGCTGTCGCTGCTGTCCTTTTCACTCTCATTTGAACCTTTGGTTGAGGAAGACATCAGCTGGGGAGAGTCCAGGTGAGCCGGGGGCTGTGGGTGGCGGGGAGGGCTCCCTGCCTGGGGCCAGGGTCATGTCTCCCGCTCTAGAGCAGGAGAGGGATGACTCCTCTAACAGCAGCTTGGAGAAGGTCCCTGTGAGGGGTTGGGGACCACATCTGTCCATTACGCCTTCCCAGAGCCAGGGCCTGAGTGTACAACCAGGGAGGGGGTCTCCTTCCGGTATGGGGATGGCAGAGGCAGGTCCCCTGTGCAGCTCTCCTCAGCTTGTCCTTGCTCTGGGGCTGAGCAGGGCTTGTGGGGAACCATGGTGATGTTGGGGGTGGGGTGGGGTGCTCCTGGATCTGAGTGATAGCAGTAAGAGCGCCTATGACTTAGGGGGCTCAAACACTGGGGAGAAATTGGGAGGAGATGGGACTGAATCCCTCATCCTTGCTGTCTGTGCCCCACCCCACAGCGAGGGGCTCAGGTGGGCAGGTCTGGGGTCTCTTGCTCATCTTCCTGACCCCCGCCCCTGGGTCAGAATGTTGCTTCTTTTGTCATTGAGACCTGGATGGGAAAAGAATGTGAAAGTTATGTGCTAATTTCCAAATTTCCTACTCTAAACTCAAGGTCGGTCCAAAGCAACTTTTGAATGTGGTTGGCCCCCCTTATTGGGGTTTCCTCCTGCCAGGTCATCGGATATGCATATAGTGACCAGGAGTTCTCTCGGGAGCTTCTTGCTAAGAGGGTTACAGATGGGAGGTGGGATGGAGACACTGAGTTGTTGGGGCAAAGCTGGCAGGCCTGACCTTACTCTCGGGGTCTCCAGGTCCCTCAGTGCAGTGAGCCGTAGACCCCCAAGGCTGTGGCCAGTGCAGGCCTTCGGGAGGCACTGGGGCCTCAGCAGGGAGCAGCACAGGGTTGGAGCTCAGATTCCAGGCAGGAGGCCAGTGAGCCTGAGAGCCTGGCTGCTGCGCGGGCCTGGTGGGGCTGCCTGTGTGAGCAGGGGGTGCCCAGGGCCATCGGGCACAGAGCCTCAGCTGATCAGGGCGGGGGGAGCTGGCTGAGCTGCAAGGAGGTCTAGATTGTGGGGTGGACAAGGAGCAGGCAGTGGTGGCGGGTTCTGGGCCTGACCTCTCTCTCAGGAGCCTGGCAGGAGTCGGGGAGGTCAAGGCTGGAGATGGGACACTGGGTCTCTGCTCCTGGATCTCGTCCTCCAGTCTGGTCCTTTCCAGCTCTCACCTGGTGGTGCTGGGGCAGGGACAGGTGATGGTGGTGTTTGGTCAGGGGAGGGGGAGACCAGCAGGCTGTGAAGTGGGTGAGAGGGAGAGAAAGTGGGGTTCTCTTTCCACAGATACAGGGAATGTGATTCCAGAGCAACCGCAGGGCAGCTTCTGAGGACGAAAAGCACAGTCTGCAGCCGACTGAGCATGTCCTGCTGTCTCTCCCCAGGGCCCGGTGGCTGGCAGGACCTGAGCCAAGTGTGACACCCGACCCTCAGGCCCTGGTCTGCCGGCCTCAGAGCTCCTGGCCCCTGCTGCCAGCGCCTGAGCCCAGGGACTGCCTGAGGGGCTCAGCCGGGCTCACTGGGCTGGACTCGCCTTGCTCCGCTCAGAGCACTTTCTCCCTGGGCGCCTCCGTGTCCTCACCTCTGGGGTCAGATGACAGCACTGCTGTGACTCTCTTTCCTTGGTATCTCCGTAACAGTTTGCACCTGCTTCTTGTGTTCTCTGTCACTGTGGATGTCTGCGCAGGTCACCAGTATATGGATATGTGTGCATGTATATATCTACAGATAGATTTATTTGTACAGTATTTTGATATTTATATTACAACCATAAACATTTATATCTGGTCTGTGTGTCATTTCAGGGCAGGGAAGGGCAGTATGAGGTTGTGGGGGGAAGTGCAGTAGCCCTGGCAGTAAAAACCCAGTTCCTGCTCCCTGGCTCCCATTTGCTGACAGAGTCCCAGGAAAGCGCAAAGGGCTGGAGAAGCTGGAGTGGGGCATCTGGGCCACTGTCAGGGGCTGAGTCTGGGGAGCCATCTGCCCTGATGGTGGGGGTCACGTGGTGGAGCAGAGCTGATGTGGGGAGGGTACAGGGGCAGTGCATTGGGGTGCCCTGGTTAGCAGTGTAACCCCAGAGAAAGGGGAGGCTGTTCCCCACAGCAAGGGTGCAGTGAGCTGGGAGGGGAAGCTGGAGGTACCTGGGAGGAGGAGGAAGGGGCCCATGAGAGGCCTTGGGGGGCACAAGGAGCAGAGACCTGTGAGGAAGCTGCCCTTGCTTCTGGGCCTGGGACTTGTACCAGGAGTGGGGGACCTGGAAGGAGACACTTGACAGAAGAACGTGGCTGAGAGACTGTGGGAGGCTGAGGATGGCAGCATTTTTCTTATTGTGGGTTTGTTCTTGTGCCTTTCTTTTCACTGAAAAAAATTTTTTAGAGATTTATTTATGCATACAGAAGTAGGGTACAGGCCAGACATGCAGGGCTGGTGAGGGGATTCAGCAGAGACATAGTAGGGAGCAGAACAGGCAGTTGGAGGAAGTACACTGCTGAGGGGAGCAGAGGCAGGTCAGGAGAGGTCTGCCATGCCATGTGCGTCACCTCTGGGGCGGGGATCGAACTGGCACTGAAGCAGATGCAGCCAGCTTGCAGTACTGAGTCCTAACCGGTTGCACCACCAGGGAGGGCCTCTTTTTCATTTTGAAACATTTATTTATGCATAAAAAACTGGGGTACATGCCAGAGGTTTGGGGAAGCTGAGAGCGCCCTCTAGCGTCCGGTAGCCCCGTGTTCCCAAGGACAGAAAATTAATCACGGGGTGGTTCTGTGGGGCCTTTGAATGAAGCATCAGCCACAATTCAGGGCCTCATGTGCTATTGTGTTCTCCCATGTTTGCTCACGCTGCTCAGACACTGTTGCCCCATCTTTGCCTGAGACGATGCCCCGGAGCTCTGCCGGCCACGTCACTGGTCCAACAGCCGAGATGCAGGAAAACAAGGCCCAGAGGTCAGTGCAGAGGGTGAGGGCGTCTGGAGGTGCAGGAGCAGCCCTGGGCCCTGCAGGCAGCCCAGGAGCTGTGCAAGGCACTGCCTGGGATCCCCCTGCTGAGCACTCCCTCTTGTGGGGCTGCCATTCGTGGGACTCCAGGGAAGTCAAACCCTGGCTCACTGAGTAAGGGCCAGGTGTGGGCTGCTTTCTCCTGCCATCTCCCCCTCACAGCCCTCTCTGATTCTAGAAACCAGACAGCTGAGGCAGTGTGGCAGGTCGCAATGCTGCCCTGGCGTCAGCAGGGGGCGTGTGAGAAAGGCGATGTCCCCACCAGTCCTGCACTACTGAGGGAGAAACCAGGGTGGGTCCAGGATGATGCATTTCCAAGAGCCCCTCAGCAGAATTCTACTCCCTCTGTCTCTCCCTCCCTGCCTCCTGGATGCGCAGTGGAGTCCACTCAGGATGCAAGGACATACTTCCTTTAGGAGCCGCAGGCGTCTCAGTGGCTTAGTCGGAGCCTGCCTGGCTCTGGCGGGGAAAGTTGCGGCTGGGCCCTGCCCTGGCCTTGTCCTGGCGCTCACTGGCTGCTCCTTACACCTGGGATGCAGCGCCAGTGCTGTCTCTCCCGTGGGGTTTTGACGGCCATTAGGCCAGCGTGCAGGGCCCCATATAGGTCCATCGGTAGCCCACAAGGCCTGCACTGCCCACTCTCCTGTGTTCACGTCCTCAGGCCCCTGCACCTGGCTCAGTCCCAGCCCTCAAGGGTGAGCAGGGAGGTGAAAGGATTCACCAGAGACAGGTGGGGAGCAGAACAGGCAGATCTACTGAAAGACACTGCTGAGGGGAGCAGCAGGTGGTCAGGAGAGGTCTGCTGGGCCATGTGGGTCAGCTCCCTGACTGGGCATCAAATGAGAGCTGCATTGGCTGCGGTAACTTCACAGTGCTGCGCTTTAACCTCTGGCCACCAGGGAGGGCCCTCAAGGCCAACATTTTTAGAGAGTCAAGGGCAGGCGCTAAGAATCCCAGTGAGGCGTCTCTGTGAGAATGCACCCCGCTCTCAGGGAGGGGCACAATTAGAGGGTAAGCGAGATCTCTACATGGCTGGTGTCCTGGGTGTTGGCCCAGCACCACCACTGCCCAGCACCACCCTACCACGGACGGGTCAAGCATGCAGGCCTTCCCGTAGGAGGGGTCAGGACGCGCCCCTCAGGCAGTGTGGGGGCACAGAGGGCTGGAACCAGGCATCTGCTGAAGGCCGAGGCTCCCTGTCCCCTGCCCACAGGTGCCGCCGCCCTGGCCTGGCCGCCAGGAATTGGGCTGAGCACCGGTGGGCTCTGGGACACGCGAAGGCGGCAGGGCAGGGTGAGGAGCAGAGCCAGCCCTGGCTCCCGGCTGGAGATGCCTGGGGGAGAGACAGTGGGGAGCACAGGCTGCCCCTGCCTCAGTCTGCTCCCTTTGTGCCAGCTGTCTGGGGCCTGGTCAGAGCCCTTGGCTCGGCCTCCCCGCCACAAACTGCTGGAGAGTTCAGGCCTCGGGCCCCCACTTCTATGTCACCCAGTCTGGCTGAGCTTTATCTGCTGGAGGATGGGTCATTTGGGGTGTATTACTGGGAAACTCTCTCCTTCCCTTTCTCACACACTTTGACTATGCACACAAATCCTAGGAAATTTCTTTAAAAGTCTATTTGCCTTTGGGAGCATGGATGGTTGACCTCTTTAGAGGGTGTAAGTTTGGGGTCCTGGGGTGCCCCTCTGGCACATGCTGAAAAGCTGCCTGTCCCCATGGGGTGACCCTGGGGATCCCTTTGATGTGCCCTGCTGATGACTTGGAGTCGTGCTCCCAGCCCTGTCCCCAAAGTGTGTTGTAAGGGCGCAAGGCTGTGTCATCTACACCGCTGAGTGACGCCCTGTGAAGCCTCTTGAATCCCCTTTTGAAATGTGATTGGACCTCCCTGTGGTGACTGTGGTTAGGTCCCAGCACCATGAATCTCTCTGCAGCAGGAGAGTGACTCCCGCCGGGAGCACAGGCGCACAGACCTCTGCCATCTTGTCTGCTGCTCTCCTCAGTTTTTAATTCAATTGATCCACCTGCTCTGCTCCCCATTCTGTTTCTGGTGAACCCTCTCTCCCTTGCATCCCCCTTCCCTATCTCTGGCCTAAATGGATAACTTGTGTGCATATTTAATAAATCTTTGAAAAAATAAAAGAAAATGTTGTGATTACCAGTAAACAACCTTGTAGACTCTCCCACTTCCCTTAAACACTCCTTTTTTCCTGGAAACCATCATTGTATTTCACTTTATAAATCTATTGATTTGCTTTGTTCATCTTAGTTATTTTGCTGCAGTGCTTGGTTTCTCCCCAGGTGTGGCTCCTGGGTTTCCCTCCGCAGCCCCGTGTGTCCCTCCCCTTGTGCCCTCCCTCTGTCTGACCCTCTCCCTCCACGGTGAGGGGGTGGCAGGGCGTGGATTTCAGACAGTTGGTGAGCACAGATGAGGCAGCGACTACCCGGCCCTTGGGCAGAGACCTGAACTATGAGGACAGTCCTGTGGGGCCCAGGGAGGGGGTATAGTTGGGGGGGGTCACAGCAGGGCGGTATGCTGAGACAGCCCTGGCAGAGTTCAGACCTTGGTGTGAGCAGAGACAGATGTGAGCGTGGTTGAGAATGATGGGCTCTGGGAGTAAGGGGTCCCATGAGAGTTGCTTTTGGCAGTGGGGCAGGGCTAGCATTCAGTGGGTGTGTCTTGTGGGTAGTGGATGGAGCTTATGGGCAGTGGGCGGGGCTGGTGGACAGTGGGGAACCCCTGGGCCCTCAGCTGCTCAGAGAGGGAGGACTGGTGGATCCTCTGTGATATGGAGGATGTGTTCTGACAATGTAAAGGTTACTGTGAGATGTGCCCATGGGCAGCTGGGCGTGAGGGGCTGTAGGCAGCCGGGGGACAAGCCCCCCTTCCCTATAGCAGTGGACCCTCTAGGATGGAGCAGTGGAGGGGAAGCTGGTGCATGGATTCAGGTTGGCGGTGTTAAGGTGGTGTTGGTAGCGGCCAACACATTCCTATATTCTCCTGATTCAATAGTTACTTGAGGGAACTGACCACATACAGTACCATAAATAGACACAGATTATTGAAAAATTCAACACAAGGAAATTCAGCTTTCAAAACAGCAAGTGGGGTGAAGCTCGGCAAGGTGGAGTCTGAAACATTTGCAGAAATAGAGCAGAGCGTTTGCTGTTTACCCAGCCATGGATCGCTATTGCTTTAAAATCTCATGATTGTGGAGCCAGGACCTGGGGTGAGGGCTCAGGTCAGTCCCTGGTTTCTGCTCTAGGCAGAGTTTAGATTCAACAATTAGAATCAAAGCACAGTAGTCGTCAGTGTGCAGTATGGAGCCAACGCCTTCATAATCAGCGATTAAGCCTAAAACTTGAGGGACCCAAGAAGCCCCTACATTTCCCCTGGAAATAGGCTCACCGTGCTGCTGGGCGAGAGGCTCTCTCCACACACTTGGTGGCTAAACCAGGCACCGATCTGCCTGCCCACAGTTCAGTTTCTTCATTATACCTGCTCTCTCTGTTAATATCTGATTACGTGTGTGTAAAAGCACTTAAGAAAGATTCAGAGCTATTCAGATGTGAATGATTATCTTCAAAGAGAAAGGTTCTGGTGTTGGATTTTAGTGTATATTTTGGCTACTAAAAAGCTGTCATCTGGAGTTTAGGACGCTAGCTCCGTAATTTCCACCAAAAATAGTCTCTTCCTCACTCACTCCTTCTTCATGAAACCCAAATTTACATCAAAAGATAAAATACCACATTTCACACATTGTGCT